GGGAATTCAGCCACAGGGTTGGGGTGATCCTAACCTGAGGCCTGTTCAAGCAGTGACCCAGGGAAACCAAAGGGAGGTCATCCGGGTCTTGGGAGCTGCAGAGGCCTGGATGGAGGAGAGGTTTGGCAAGAGGAGTCCGGGCTTGGCGGGAGAGCCTGGTCACAGGGCAGCCCTGGGGACACAAGGTGCATCCAGGTCCCGGCTAGAGACAGGAGAAACTGCTTTTTTCCCAACTGGCCCTGGAGGTCTGGTGTCAAAAAACCTGGAGGGTGTCTTTGCCAGAGAAGGGTGTGGCAGAGAGCAGCTCATGGAGTGTGGGTGGGGGTTGGGCTGAGTGCAGGGGGGGAGTGGTTCTTTTGGAGGGATGGGGGACACTGTGAGCTGAGTGTCCCAGCAAAAGCATAGCTGGGGAGGGTAGGGGACAGCTGGGGAAAGTCTGGGTCTTTCCTATTCATGACCTGGATGCTCCATGAGCTCCCCCTTCAATCGGAAAACCCTTGCCCTCTGTTCCGTGCAATTCAGTGTCTTGCACGAAATTCTTGGGTCACTTTTACCCTTCCCTTCTTCTTTTCTCTCTTCTAGAACTCATGGTAGTAGGATGTGCCAACATTCTTTTTGTTTTCCCAAGTTTTTAATATTTCACCTCCTGATTTCTTTTTGTCCTACCTCGTGGATTTCCTTAAGTATACATTCCAACCCTTTTATTTCTTTTTTTTTTTTAATTTGTTCTCCTGTTCTTAACTTTCAAAGGTCCTTTCTGATCTGCTTCTTCCTGCTTTTATTGCTTCTACTGCTTTTTTATGGAAGCAAAATCGTCTCTCCTCTTCCCCCAGAGGATAATAATCACAGACTAATTTTTAAAAAATGTTATCTCTGAGATGAAAAGTTTCTGGAGATCCATTACACAACAGTGTGAATATAATTAACACTAATGAACTGTACACTAAAAAAAATGTTAAAATGGGCCAGCAATTGGGTGGGGCACAGTGGCACCCACCTGTAATCCCAGCGGTTTGGGAGGCTGAGGCAGGAGGATCCCAAGTTCAAAGTCAGCCTCAGCCACTTAGTGAGGTCCTAAGTAATTTAATGAGACCCTGTCTCTAAAAAATATATATATTAGAAAGGGCTGGGATGTGGCTCAGTGTTTAAGCACCCCAGGTTCAATTTCCAGTACAAAAAAAAAAAAGTTAAGATGGTGAATTTTATGAATTTTTTTTAACCACACACAGAAAATGATCAATCTGCTTTCTGCATTGTCTGTCTGCCCTGTGTTTGTTGGTTTTGATCTCCACTTCCTGGAAACTCAGCATACCCAGGCAAGCCTCAAAGGCTGGAGCACCCCACTGTAGATGCAACTCTGAGCTGGCTTTTTCCTGGGGCTTCTTCCTCTATGTTTGGACTTTTATCTGTCATCTCCTGTCAGGAGGCACGTAGCTGCTGCCTGCATTCCTGGAGCAGAGAGTGAAGGGCCTGGGGACTCACCAAGCAAGCATGCAAGGTCCCTTCTCTTCAAGGGTCTCTGTCTTGGTCCTCACTGTGCTTGTTGTCCCCCAATAGGAGCATCTGCACTGTAGTCCTCCATAGAGGCAGCCCCCAGCCTCTTCCTAGTGGGGGAGTGGGAGACTGTGGCTGTGTTGGGCTCAGAAAGTCTAACCCCACGTGCAGAATTTCAGCCAGTCCCCCAGTTTTCAGTTCAGGCTTCAATCCTACCAGACACCTCCGTGTCCAGAGGGGAGGTCCTGGGTGACAGTCAGCAGTGTCCCTCAGGGGCCCCTCGCAGGTTCCATCACTGGGCCAGACCCTCAGTGGAATTACCATCTTTAACCTCTTGCTTCATTTCCCACCTGCTATGGTCTCCTCTCCCTTCTCTGTCCTGGAGGGTCTATATTGCTCTTATTTCTTATTTCAGGGATTAGGGAGAAGGCACAAATGTGTCAAGAATGGGACTTTTTACCATCTTGTGAGGTTACAAGTTGAAGGAATATTCGTAAAGATTAAAATGGACGGATATGAGGGAAATGACTGGAAATCAAATCCTGAGGTGACGAACAGGGGGCTCTTTATTATGTCCTAGTCTCCCCCAACAACCAAAAGCAAGTCCTGCCCCAGACTCCCCACTCTGAACCACACAAGCGCAGGCAACCACGCTGGCCTGGGTGTCTCGAACACAGAGATGGAAAATGGAAGCAGGTTCAGAAAGTGGGGAAGGCACGCTAGCTCTCTTTAGACTTAATGTCCTTCACCCCTCCATGACCAAGTTTGAGCCTGGGGAAGTTACTAGAAAAGACCAGAGGCCTGGCCCCTGGTCCCAGGGAGGAGGCCTGCTGTGGGGTAGACTTGTGTTGGTTGTCCACTGCTTCCCAGGACTATTCCTTGAGGAAGGGGCAGAGGGTTGGGACAGCCACCCAGCCATACTTGAAAGGGAAGGAGAGCCTGCAGCATAGAGTTTGCAGTTAGAATGTGGGAATGCGTTCGACTCTGGGCACTAGGACTTTCTAGCTATGTGATGGGGGCATAACCTCTCTGAACCTCAGTTCTTTCTTCTATAAGATGGGAATCTTACTGCCCACCTCTAGGGGTTGTTGAAGCTGGATTGAGGTGATCCTGCAGTCCTAAGAAATCACCTGTGGGGTTTTTAAGAGTGATACTAAAGACAGAAATCTCCCTGCACCCCTCACCTCTGTCCTCCATATTTCTTTCTACAGGATGGGAGAACAGCCCACTACTATTATGAAAGACTTACCAAAAGGGGTAAAGCCAGGGAAGAGACCTTTTAGCTTCCCTTGACAAAAGATGCCCTTGCCTACCTGATTTCTCACCCCTTGGGCTCTGTTCAGAGATCTCGAAAAGCAGTAGATTTGAGTGCCCCTACCAAGCTCTGCTTCCAGGTCTTTGGGTTCCATTGTTCCAGCTCTGAGCCTATCTGGCAGCTCAGAGGGTAGCTGGAAACCCCTGTGGGTCAAGTCATGTGCTTCTGGAGCCCCCCCAATCTTCTCTCCACTTTCCCTCCAATCTGAAGAGCAGGTTCAGGGTTAGACTGGAGCCACATAAAACCAAAGATCCCTTTTGGGGGGGATAAATCCCACAGAGATCGCCACCAAGATATGGGGTCAAGAACTGTAAAGTCAGAGTCTCACCAGTAGCAGTTCTGGGGCAAGAAGCAAGGGACAGGCCACCAGCTCCCTGCTAGCTGTCTGTGGAAGCAGGGCCTCTGGGTCAGCCAGAACAGAGACCTGGGCTGTGGTGAGAGCTGACAGGCTTGGAATGTGTTTGGAGGGGCCCACACCACACGCAAGGACACGCAGGCGCACGCATGGAAACATGCACAGTGTCTGATGTTTACCCCTCTCACACACAGACAGGCTGCCTGAGGACTCGCTTGCCTGTCCTGCCTCCAAGGCCGCCATCTTCCTAAATTGAAGGTTATGAGGAAGGAGTAGAAGGGGGTCATAGAGACTTTTGTAAAACAGACTAAGAGCAAATTGTGGAGACCCATCAGCCTCTACCTTCCCAAGGCTTGGTTCCAGGGGGCTAGGAGAACTCCCTTATAGGTGTTGAGTTTATGATTTTTCTTCAGAAGGTACAGAGAGACACACCCCCGGCTGTTGGGGTTGAAGTATCCTTCTGAATATCAACAGTGACACACTGTCACGACATGCTCCGACGTGAGCTGGCAGCAATATGGGTAGTTTGAGAGATCCTGGAGGGCGGTTTCAAGGGTAAAGATGGGGGTGGGGCAGGTTGTCACGTTCCCTTGGCAGCCTATCTTGTTGCCATAGCAACACGGCTCTGCCTCCATCCTGTGGAGTCCTGGTTTCTGTAATGGGTAGAAAACTGTGGTGCTTCACGGTATGGGGGGCGGGGCCCATAATCCCTCTGGGAAAGAACATTTCCGTCTCAGACCAAGCAGGATAGGGGGACCCTAGGAGCTGTCTTGTGGGTGTGAGGGCAGATTTCCTGGGGTTTTCCTAATGACAAGGTCTACTCTTTCCTACTGAAATTTTTCCTCCCTAGCTATTGGGCCCCCAGGATGTCCCCGGGGGTTGAATACCGTTTCTGGATCTGGACCACCATCTCAGAGAGGCACGGCAGTGCACAGAGCAGAGTCTGGCGTCAGGAGAGCTATTAGGCTTGCCACTTGCTGGCTGTGTGCCTTGAGTGCGTGACTTATTTTTATGGATTTTAGGGTTCTGCATGCAAGGATGAACTAATACATGCCTCTCTCCCTGGGTGGTTTATGAGGATGAAGAGAAGTGACAGTGTAACATGGGATCCAGGCTGGCTTTCCTGGGGGAGGGTGGATGGCTGTGTCCACTGTTGGTGCTCCATGCGTGTCCGCCAAGCACCCCCTCAGAGGCTTGACTGTGGGGCTCAAGTGATATTTAACCCTTGGGGAACAGGCAGTGGTTGGCACTATTTTCCAGATCAAGCTGTACGACTGGCTGAGGAAAGAGAAAGTTATTTAACTGGTCTACGCCTCCTTCTCAGTGCATGGTTCTTGGCCCATGTCCCTCTGCAAAATGCTACCCAGTGCTACCCATCTGCAGGGGGGTGAACCTAGGAATTATGAGAATGGTTTTAGAATGCTGGGTAGAAATTGGATATTGCTGAAACATGCAAGCAGCATTCAATTTGGGCTTCTCTTTAGTTGTTTAAAAATTGTTCAGGTTCCCAGTGGTTCTATCTATCTATCTATCTATCTATCTATTTATTTATTTATTTATGTGTTGTCTGAAAAGGACCGGGGAACCAGCAAACTGGTATTTCATCACATCTAGTTTGAGAAGCACTGACCTTGACGACACCAGAGACATCTTAAAACCAGCCCAAGATGCTATTGAGAACAACCTCATCAGCGCTGCCTGCACAAATCAGTGGCTAATCACAGCTCCTGAGTTGGCAGCGTTACTTTTATTGCCTCAAGCGGAAGCTCAAGTCCCGTCCCCCGCACCCCGCTTTGTCTAGCGCACCCCCACCCCCACCCCCACCCCCACCCCCACCCTCTGCCTGCTCGGCCTCTAGTCGGGGTTTGAAGTTCACTGCCCGCACCTGCGCCCTGGGCCAGGTTCAGCGCCTCCGCGGCGGCTTCCAGGCGCTGTCTGCCGCTTGCCATAGCGCAGACCGAAAGAGTTCCAGTTGTAGGAGGACAGGTCCTTCTCCCGCTGCACCAGCACCGCGCCCCGGGGCGCGGGAATCAGACGACTGCGCGGGGAGCATGGACCCATCACCTGGGGCCCCGCAGGGCTCTCGCCAGGGGGACACAGCGAGACCCCCCGAGGGCTCGGCCCGGCTGGGACAGGCTTCCTCTCCGTGCACCGCAGGTCCTGCTCCCAAGGGTCCAGGGCCGTCAGAGGTCCCAGTCTCTGGCCTAGGACAGATAGTACAGGGAAGACAGGGAAGTAAGGCCAGGGACCAGGAAATATGGCTTTGGAACGTCCCCTTAAATCTCCATCTCATGCTTACTCTTGGTCCCTTGACCGCCAGGAAGCTCAGTGCTAATCGCAGCCCAGAACCGCACACCAACCTCTCAGCTAAGGGGTTAGACCATTTGCCCTTCTCTCCTTCAATACGGCTTTGATTTCCAGTGTTTCCTGGATTATCTTAAATAACTTTTGTATGAATTTACCTTCTTTTAGGAAACTGGGTTGCGTTTGGAAATTAAGAAAGTCAAAGTATTTGGGGGACATTCAGCTCTGCCCCTCTTCTGGCTCTGCCTGACTTCTGGGTTGTTTCCATATCTGGCTCCCCTTTGGACTCCTTGGGGTGGGTGGCAGCCAAGTTCATCCACCTATCACCCCCACCTTCTTCGAATTCTCAAAACAGTGCCTTACACATAATAGGTCCTCAATAAATCCTTGTTAAATATATAAAAGCTGTAATCCTAGCTGCTCCGGAGGCTGAGGCAGGAGGATCACCAGTTCAAAGCCAGCCTCAGCAATAGCAAGGTGCTAAGCAACTCAGTGAGACCCTGTCTCTAAATAAAATTCAAAATAGGGCTGGGGAATGCGGCTCAGTGGTCGGGTGCCCTTGAGTTCAATCCCCAGTATCCCCCCATCCCCCAGATATATATAAAAACAAATTAATAAAGTGAAGCCAAGGCCATTGTGCCTCCACACACCTGTGATCCAACCCTGATCTCTGATAAAAATATTAGTGACCCTCTATTAAGCTACATCAGGACTGATGAAGGCCAGAAATGACCTAGGTCACCTTAACTGGCTCACCTCCCCCACCCAGCAGTCATTTCTCCCCTTCACACTGAGGGTTAAAAAGGCTCATTTGGAGGGCACTTCACATGCAAGGCTCATTAAGTTCACTATACTTTTTGGCAGTAAAATAGGGCGGCCAGCTCTGAATAGACAATAAGTCAGCCAATTGTGCTAAGAGATTAGTGGAAAGGAGGCCTCCTCTGCGAGCGAGTGTGTGTTGGGGTGGGGGTTGGCTTTGTGCCTGGCTCCTCAATGCCCTGGCACACTTTGGAGGAGTCTGGACATGGTCCAGAGTTAATAACCATCTGTCTAGGAGGTCCCTCCCTCCTTGCTGAGGGTCAGACAAAGATGGGAGAGGGGATCTCAGTTATAGCCTCTAAGCCAGCAGGAGAACCACTGCCCGGGCCACTGTGTGTGTGGCCTCCCCTAAAGCCCTCTGCCAGAAACAGCCAAAGCCCATTATCCGTAGGCAGTGGTGGGGTTATGATATCAAATGTGCAGTCTGCCCCGAGTTCCATAGCTGGGAACCAGAGAGGCTAAGTGGCAACTTTGCCCAGAAAACTGACAACCAAGAAGTGTTCAATCTCATGTACCTGCCTTGGGGACTAGCACCGTTACAGCTCACGCCACTTAGCAGACACGCTCTTGGGTATGCTGGCACCTAGTGCTTCTGCAGGTGGGGAAGTCTCTTCCCTCTTTGGGCCTCAGTTTCCCCAACTCATCAGTTCCCTGGTGAACTCACAAGATTGACAGGTATTAAGGGTCTGTCTTGTATTTAGACTCTTTTTTATCAAATCCCCTTATAAAGGATCTGGATTCACTGATAAGAGAAGCTTGAATATTAAGTTCCTTCCTAACATCCACCCAGAGAAGTAGTCTGTGTAAGCAGAGAACACTTTGAGAAAACCATGAAGGAGCTTGGTGTCTAATGAGCCTAGGTGAGCCTCCTGATGCCAGTTACGGTGATAAACTGTCCCTCTTCTCCATGCGATGCACACATGGCCATCTTAGAGGTCCATCAAATGCAGTGTTAAACTCCTATCAGTCGACTGGCTAAAATTGGAAAAATACAGCCAACCTAATTTCTCCATGACCTGCCTTTCCCCAGACGATGCATACCTATGGGTCTAGGATCATCCACAGGTGCCACCTTTGCCAGTGGGTCCCCGAAGGAGGTGGCACAGAGGAAAAGCAGTAGTGGCCAAGAAATCAGTGCGTTCATCCTGATGAGAAGAGGCAGGTCCTGGAATCGCGCTGAGGCTGGGACAGAGAGAGGGAACAAGGACTAGGTCAGGTGCAGAATCTGGGCTAGTGCTGGGAGCAGAGGGGGTGCTTCCTGGAGGAGGATGGGTAGGGAGGAAGGAAGGATTCCGTTTGGTGGAAGGGGCAGGATTTCTTGGGTTGGAGAATGGCTAGGATTCTGAAGGTCAGGTTTGCTTGAGAGGAATTCTGGGGAGGGGAGGGGAGAGACTCAGCGTGGGAGCTGGCAGGGAAAGGAAGTGGGGCAAAGTCTTTAAAGCATTCTCTCTGGAACCCGGAGCATGTCGGCTCTGCACAAATCCAGCCCCGCCTGAGTTCCCCTCTCCCCTTAGCATGTATCTTCTTGAGTCTGACCCTGTTCCGTCCTGCTTTAATAGAAACCCAATTCTTTATCATTTCTAGGAAAAAAGGAAGGAAGAGGCGAGAGAAGGGGGAGTCATCTTGCTCTCTCTCAGAGCCCTTCACAGTCTGGAAGACCATCATTAAATTCTTATTGCCTGTAATTCAGGGATGAGAAAAGCCTTCCTCTGATTTATCAGGTCAATTGTCTCCACAGTCTATCCTCTGTGGGCTCTGAGAGGATATGGATTGGACTGGCCTCATCATTTTGGCTGCTGAGAAGGGAGATGTGCATCCTGACCCTCCTTCACCCCTCTTCCCTCCCCCGCCATCTTGCTCTGCCTGCTGCCCCCGCCCCCCCCGCCCCACTACTCCAGCCCCAAGCCCAGTTCCTCTTTGAAAAAGTCATCAGGCACTTTGGTAGTATTCAATAAACAGGATTAAAGACAAACCTCTGAGGAGGCAGGGGGCACTGTGCACAGACCTAGACTAGCGCCTCTGTCCGTGGGGAAGGCAGGGGATCATTTGTGACCATCACCTCCTAATGTCTACCCAGCTCATGCCTCCCTTGCAATTGCCACTTCCTGTCTCCTCCCTGATGCAGGACTCAGGCATGGTGTGCAGGGTAAGAATCCTGCGATGGGAACACTACTCCAACCTGGCCTCAGCTCTGCCCTTGCTTCACAAGCCCTGAGCAAGTCACCCCCTACCAGGCCTCATCAGTCAGTCTGTAAAATGGGGGCATTGGATCAGACTGCTCACAGCTGCCCACAGAGATGGTTATTTGTCCTTGCAGGCTTTGATTCTGTGACCCCTTGAAACTCAGACTGGAGCTTTCTGCGCTTTTTCTTTCTGGGGTGGGATGTGGAATAGAAACAGGTTTAACCCACTAGAGAGAATGCTGTAGAAGCGGGTCAGACCTTGGACATGAGGGTCCTGGTTGGTTTGGAAGGCTTCCTTGAGCACCACTGAGGAGCTGGTGCTGTGCTAGGTGCTGGGGTTGCACAGACGGGCTGACGCAGGGTTGCTGCCTGCCCCCAAGATCTCAAGTCCAGCATGGGAAATTGACTCCTGAGCAGATCATTTCAAAATAACACTGTGAATGACAAGCTGGGCGCATGTGAGTACGGGGGGGGGGGGCTATGGGAGCTGGGGAAGCCTAACTTGGAGAGTCCAGACAGGCTTTAATGATGGTGCCTAGTCAACCAGAAGAAAGGAGGTCTGTAGAAGGCAATCCCTGCAGGGTGCTGCCAGGGCGATGGTGCTGGGGGCACTGGAGTGACAGGCGGGTCTGGGTGCGGAGCGCACTGTGGGTTCTCCGGGAGGACAAGAGGAAGAGCTCCCGGGGAGAAAGAACCCTGCAGGTTTCATTCTGGAGGGTCGGAGTCAGGCAGGAGTGTGTGCTGATGTGCGATGCAGATGGGACATCTGGACACTGTGCAGAAGCAGGATGGTGAGCGACGGAGGGCAGGGGGGCAGGCTGGGTGGTTGGAGGGTGGTGACCTGCTTTGTCCCCTCCCACTGGGGTGCCCCATTCATTGTGGACAGCATTTACCATGTGCACCATGGAGGAACTCTGCCCGCACCAACACACACAGACACACGCACACCACACCAACATACACACAGCACTACCCTACATATGCACACCTATGCATATTCCACTCTCCCCCATACCACGGTGTGTGTATGCTATTCATCACATACACACACGTCCCACACACATCACATATGCTCCCCACACACCGTGCACACACGTCCTACACCACATTCACAGACCCACACATCACGAACACCTCACACACACATGTATACCAGTTTGTATTGGGGGGAACTGCTCTGAGGAGCCCCATTGAGCCCATGAGCCCTAAAGGGTTCCCCCAGCTCCCTCTAGAAGCTTCTGCAACCTCAAATCGCAGCCACAGATGGTTTCTTCATTATATCTCATGTGCAGCAAGAAAGAACTCTTGGGGTCCCCAGGGTCCTGGCTTCAGGATCAAAATACAAGTCAATGTCTTCCCCCAGGCATTTCAGAATAGTCTGGCCAAGTTGGCATGGGGAAAGATCAGTGTTCCCCATCCTTTCGTCTACCTGTCTGAGGGCAGAGACACACACACCAGCCCCTGTCCTACCGTCTGGGAACTAACCCCCTGCCCGCTCCAGAGCCTCCCCTAGGGTGACGCACAGGGCACCTACCTTGGCTCTTCCTGGCCCAGGCGAGATCCACTGGGTCTCTGAGGAGAGGAGACAGAGGAGGCTGCCTGGGTGGGCGAGCGCCGGCGGGAGGGGAGCTGGGCTCCTTAGCTGCCTCTCACCAGCTCCTCAGTCGGTCCCCTTTTATAAAGCCCAGGTGACGTCTTCAGACATCAGCCCACCTCTGCCTCCTCACCCCCTCCCCAGACCCTCTTCAGAGAGCTCAGCTCCCTGCTGGCGGCCTCCCCCTGGGCTCTCAGGCCTGGAGTCAGCCTCTTCCGCCCCCACAGAAGCCCTCCAAGGTTGGACTCCAATTCTCACGAGTTCTTCTTGTCCTCCACCTCTTCCTGCCCTGGCCCCCTCAGCTGGGGACCCATTCCGTCCCAAACAATGAGGAGAGGACTGTTGGAGGAGGGTGTGTGTGTGTGCATGTGAATGTCTTGTTCCCTCTCCCATGAGAGCCACAGACACACCCAGTCTGAAGTGAATGCAGCGCAGGAGGAGGAGGAGGAGGGGAGGGCACAGCCTGACCCAGGAGCTGCCCGCTGCCCACATGCTGCCAGGTCTCAGGAAGCCGGGTCAGCTTGGGCCCCGCCAGAGGCAAACCCTCCTGGGCTACTCTCTGCACCTGGGGGGTGGGGGAGCGTCTCTTCTTTGTTCTTCTTACCTTCCTCCTCTCAATCACTGTGCCCAGTGCTCAGCACGGTCACACCCAGACCGGGGAGGCAGTGAAGTCGGCAGCTGGCTATAAGAAAGGCCCATAAAATGGTGGCCTAGATGGTGGATGAACCTGGGAAATGGTAGGGAAGGCAGAGAAGGGACTTCCAGACTGTACCACACCCACAGAGACCCTGCCTCTCCTCCGGTGGCACCCACCGTCGCGACATTTTTGTAATTGCTTATGACACTTACGTACTGCAAGGACCCTTAATAAATAAAAATTCATACTTTCCAAGGGACCCTCTTCTTTTTCCGGAGGCTGCAAGAACTCTCTTTACCTTGGACAAAGGGCCTCCCAGGACAGGGACCGTTCCTTTGTCAGACTGGGCCCTCTGAAGGCAGGGGCTGGTGTGCGTGTCTCTGCCCTCAGACAGGAAGCTGTCCCAGCACAAGCTTTACCTGGTAGGTGTGCTGTGCAGAACAGTCAGGTCATGATGGAGAAGCACTTTCTGACAGTACCTAGGATTAGTACCCATGGCTTGTCGAAGGCTGACTGCTGGCAGGAACTTATAAACATGCTATTTGACTCATTAGGATTATCAAACACCAGGATGGAAATTAGAGTGAGCAGAGCAGACCCGACCCACTGAAGCCGAATCCGCCCGACGAGGAATGGGGTGTGTGTGTGGTTTCAGCCCCGACCCCCGACCCCTGCCAGCCCCCAAGAACCCAGGATGGACAGACAGGGCTGGACGCACGCACTCTGAATCTCAGACTCACTCAGAACCAGAGGATTTAATCTTCACTTTTAAATACAGGGTGAGGCTGGGATGCCAGCCCCAGTCCAGTCTCCATGGGGCCCAGATCTCTGCTCCCAAGAGTCTGGCAGCCTCTTGAGTCTGCTTGGGGATTGAGGTCAGTCACTCAGTTCCGTCCTTCCTTGTGCATGTGAAGAGGCCCCGTATGACAGGGAGTGAGTCAGTGCTGGGTGGGGGCCTGAGAGGCGGCCCCCGTCTCCCTTCCAGCCCCCTCAATGAGCGATCCAATTGCAAAGAGCTCATCTCTGTGGTTCAGACCATTGAGCTGGTCCCTTGAAGCCTCCGGAACAGCTGTGGGAGCCAAGAATCATTACTCCAGACAAAGAGTGGGCAGCAGACTCCATACGCAGCTTATTACAGAGCTGGCCTTGGGGGCCGGGAGCGGTGTCACGCACAGAGCGGGAGAAGGGCTGTGGGGGACGTGTCCAGGGTGCTGGCCGTGGGGCTTCCCTGGACCTCTCAGGGGTTCATGAGAGACAGGGGCGGTGGTGCAGGGGCTGGGGACCCGGACGGGATCCGCCACCTGCTCTCACTGGCTGTCACACAGCTTCTCCATGTCAGGGCCCTGACCTAATCAGCTCCGCAGAAGGGCCAGGCACTTTCTGGCTAAGCTAGACTGTCTGAGTCTGCATTTCTTCTACTTCAGTGGGGAGTGGCTGATAGCTGTCACCTCCTTCACTTTTGTTAAATGGAGAGGGAGCGAGAGGGAGGGGACGAGGACTGGAGACTGGAGAATCCGGGGTGGGGTCTGATGGGGGCGAATCTGCTGCACCTGAGGCCATGGTTTGACCAACTCCACCAGCTTGGTGTGCCAAGCCCCAGGGGCAATCCACTTACCGCACTCAAGAAGGGGATGTCGAAGGTGGTGCCCAGAAAGCCAAACGCCATGGGGAAAAAGCCCCTAGAAGTGGGGGGGGAGGGGCAGTCAGTAATGGCCCAGGAGGGGGCCGGGGAGGTAGTGAGGCTGAGGTCCACCCACTAGGAAGGCTCTAGCTCTGGCTTCCAGGAAAGCAGGCCCCTGGGCCCTGGGGGCAGGCTTGGTTCATTCGGCACCCCCTTTTTTTGAGAGAGCAAAGTGTTAAGAACGGGGTCCCTGGGGCCAGACTCCTCTGTTCAAATCTTGGCCCTTCTGCCTACACTTGGGCACCTCCTTCGCCTCTCGGAACCTGTTTCCATCTGTTACATGGGGTTAGAACTGCGAACAAAGCCCTATTTGTGTTATTTACTCTCCTTATTATTACTCTAGCCTGATGCCTTCCCCTCTTCCCTGGATGGGGTGTGGGGCACCTGCACCAGGTTTGCTGGCATCTGGGCACTGAGTCATTGGAGGCTGTGCTTCCATTGCCACTGCCTTGGGCCTCCACACCCCCCTGCACAGTGCCACCTTTACCCTTGGTGTCCCAGGTCTGACCTGGGATGTGACCCTTCCCAGGGCAGTGAGTCTGGCTGGGGGAGGAGATTAGAGATTTGACTTCTGACAGCCACTGTGCATTGGGTCTCAGCTGGCGGAGCGTGAGGAGAATCCAAGGATGGGCACTCACTTGAAGAGGCTAAAGAAGCCATAGGATTCCAGGAACATGCCCAGCAGGGGCCAGCGCAGGAGCACAATGACCACACCCCCCAGGAAGAAGCTGGTCCCCTTGAGCTTGTGCCGCTGGAAGAAGAAGGAAAACGTCCTCCTCAGCCCGATGATGAAGGAGAGGCCGCTCAGGAACAGCAGCTGTGGGGCAGGAAGAGGGAGGAGCCTGAGGACAAGCCCGTGGCCCAGGAGGGTTCAGGGCTGGAACCTGGAGCCACTCAGGCAGAGCAGGACCACAGGGCAGCAGTGTGGCAGAATCCCAGACCTTGGAATAACTCCAGCCAGGTAAGAATAGAACTGCCCAGAGACCCAAGGGATGGACAAGGAGGAGCCCGGAGATCTCCAGTTCCCAGCCACGTCCCCGGGTGCCAAATACCTCCTCATATGTGACATCACTTCTCGTTGTGCCTCCCAGGGAAGATGGGATGCTTAGTGGGATCCTCTTTACAGAACTGAAGACTGAGTCCTAAATAGGTTAGGGAATCCTACCCAAAGTCACCCGGAACCTATGTGCCAGGTCCAGACACTGTCTACAGGTCCCTTGTGGGTGCTGAGGCCCCCACCAGATTTAACCCTCTGGCTTTCTTCTATATATTCTGTGCCTTCCCTCCCCTTCGCCACCTTTCCTCTTGCTGTTCCATCCACCGGCAAGTGCTTCATCCACCCCCTCACCCATTTCCTCTCCCAAGTCCCTTCCTCTTCCTCTTTCTGCAAGCCTCTTGTTTCACAGTAAATGTGTTCATCTTCAGGTGGCTTCTCCTCTGCCATGGCTGTCCTCCCCAGCCACGAAGGTACACATTATGATCCCTATTCCTAGATGCTGGGGTTCATTGTAGAACCCCTAAGACCTCACCCAGAGCTTGGCATAAGAATCCAGGTCCTCAGTTTCTCTGGGCCTGGCAAGCCCTGCTATCCATCCCCAGGGACCCTCATCTGTCCCAGTTGGATGATATCTGAACCCTGTATGGGGCGTGACATGAATGAACTTAGGGTTGACCTTCCTGATGACAGAGACCTCAGGGGGCTGGGGAAGGAGAGGTACAGAGGACCGGGGGACTCACGTTTCCAAAAGCCAGGAGCACCGAATCAAAGTACAGGAGTATTCCAAAGAGGATGAAGAAGATGCCGAAGCCGGTGATGCCCACGCCAATCTCTGCAATGGGCAAGGAGGTGGTGGAGGATTGGACTTTGGGGATCAGGTGAGACCCTGACACTTTCCCATCACCACGGAACAGGTGCCCGCTAGGGGCGGCTCCATTTCCACCCAGGAATCTCAGCTTCGGTGGGGTCTGGGGAGGGAAGGGTGGGCAGGGGAAGGAAGATGGGCATGAACCGTGTTTCATGGGAACTGTGCCAGTCACCTCCTCACACCATGGTCATGAGGAAGCCCGTGCCACCTGCACTACTTTGAAGTTTCAGCTTCCTCCTGTCCTCCGGTGCTAACATAAGCAGATCATTTTCAGGATCAGGTACCTGGCTGAACACAAACGCCTGCCTACTGTTCCTGTGCCCAAGCAGCCAAGACCTGGAGCCACCCCTAGTGGGCAGGAGTGTGCCACAGTAAACTCATGACCACCAGCCCCAGAGCCTCCAAACTGTCCAGCTGGGTTTCCCAAGAGGCTGACACCATCTCTCCCCACAACACACAGTCTCCTTTCTCCTCAAAACACCCCAGACCCTGCTCTCAGGTGTTGGCCTCTCACCCAGCTGGGAAAACGGAAGTCACCAGCCAGGAATGGGCTGATTTTCCTACCTGGGAACCTATGTTCAAGCCCCTGCTTTGCTTCTCCTCCGGCTGCCGCAGTAGCACCGGGCGAGCCCACCTTGGATTTCAGTCTAGTGGAGTGGGGCAGCTCTGGCCAGCAGGGTCCCCCACCCCCACGCCCACCTGTTGGCAGTGTGCCTTGGGACAGTCTCTGAAGCTCAGGAGTTTGCTCAGAGCCAGAGAGCAGGCACCCTGTTGGGTCGCTCTGGACATTGACACAGATTTTAGATCACTCCCTTCCAGAAGAGATGTGCCAGTCACAGGATCTTGGGTTCCTTTTGCCTTAAACTCTCTCCATCACACAAACTTGTGCTCATCTTTGCCACTATGGTAGTCAACAAGTTCGCTGTGTTGTTTCATTTTTAAAATTAAATTAAAAGTTTAAATTCTAAATTGTGGGAAAGCACACGTAATGTAAAATCTACCATCTTAACCATTTTTCGGTGCACAGTTTTGTGGTATTGAGTACCCCATCGCCACCATCCACCTCCGGGACTCTTTATCTTGCAAAACTGAATCTCTGTACTCATTAAATCTACCAACTCCCTGTTCTTCCTCACTTCCAACTACAGTTCTACTTGGTCTCTATGAATCTCTCTCTCTCTCTCTCTCTCTCTCTCTCTCTCTCTCTCTCTCTCTCTCTCTCTGTACCAGGGATTGAACCCAGGGACACTTAACTACTGAGCCACATCCCCAGCCCCCCATTTTTTCTATTTTCTTTAGAGACAGGGTCTTGCTAAGTTGCTGAGGCTGGATTTGAACTCGTGAGCCTCCTGCCTCAGTCTCCCGAGCTGCCGGTGTCTCTATGAATTTGACTGCCCTAGCAACCTCAGCAAGGTGGACTCATTCAACATTTGTCCTCTTGGGACTAGTTATTGCATTTATTATAATATTCTCAAGCCTCCTTCCTGTTGTGCCATGTGTCAGAATTCCCTTCCTTTTTAAGGCTGAATAATATTCCATGTGTGAAAATACCACATTTTATTGATCCATTCATCTGTTGATAAACATCTGGGTCATTTCCACCTTTTGGCCTTCGTGAATCATGCTGCCACAAATACAGGCATAAAAAATAACTCTTCAAGACCCTGCTTTAATACTCAGCAGTATTACCCACAAGTAGAATTGCTGGATCATTTTTTAAAAAACTGCCATGCTATTTTCCAAAAGTGGCTGCCCATTTTACATTCCCATCAGCAGTGCACAAGAGTTCCAGTTTCCTCCACATCCTCACCAACACTTCATTTCCTGTTTTTTTTTTTTTTGGTTTAGTTTTAGTTTTTTATTGGTAGCAGCCATGCTAATGGATATGAGGTGACCTCAACATTGTGGCTTTGATTTGCATTTTCCTCCTGTTTGGCCGTGTGGAGCATCTTTGCATGGACTCATTGGCCATTTGTATATCTTCCTTGGAGAAGGGTCTATTCAGGTCCTTTGCTTGTTTTTTAATCAGGTTGTTCTAGTTAGGTTTTCCGGGAGTTCTTTATATCCTCTGGATATTGACCCCCCATCATGCATACCATATACACATATTTTCTCTCTTTCTTTAAGTTGCCTTTTCACTCTGTTGATTGTATCTTTGATTCACAGAAGTTCTCGTTTCAATGTAGTTGGATTGATCTATTTTTTCTTTTGTTGTCTGTGCTTTTGATGTCACATCCAAGAAATCATTGCCAAAGCCTGTGTCACGAAGCTTTCCCTTATGCTTTCTTCTAAGAATTTTATAGTTGTGGCTCTCATGTTTAGGTCTTTGATCCATTTTGAATTAATTTTTGCATATGGTGTAAGATAAGGGCCCAACTTCGTTCTTTTGTATGTGGATACCCAGTTTTCCCAGAAGCATTTGTTGAAGACTGTTTCTTCTCCCATTGAATGGTCTTGATACCCCTGTGGAACATGTCCCTGGACTTGTTAACTAACAGCTTAGAGTTGGTCCTCTATGAAACTGGTAGCATTACCATTTTACATACAGCTGTTAAGTGAGAATTATTATTCTGGTTGTTTAGAGACAGGACTGCAAAAACAAAATAAGACTAGATTTACTGGCTAAATTACAGTTACAACTGAAAGATTATCTTTCTTGAGTTAATCCTTTAAAATCTATTGCCAATTTTTTTTTTTTTTTTTTTTTTGGCACTGGGGATGGAACCCAGAGGTGCTTGACCACTGAGCCGCATCTCCTGTCCTTTTTATTTGGAGACAGAGTCTTCCTAATTTGCTCAGGGCTTCACTAAGTTGCTAAGGCTGGCTGCTCCTCCTGACTTGGCCTCCCCAGTGCCTGGGATTACCGGCATGCACCATCATGCCCAGCCCGACTGCAGCTTTTAAACACACTGGAAAGACACCTGTGGAAATCAGAGGTGGCAGATTCACTCAATTACAATGACTCTAGCCAGCCACAAGAGAAACCCCTGGTGAAGAGGTGCACTGATGTGACCATCTCAGATTCCTACCCAGATTCTGAGAGTCACTCTGAGAAAGACTCCTGGTGGTGGAGGTTCTAAGACTCACCAGAATCCAGGATGCATCCCCACGAGAATGCAGATGGGACTCCGCACGCGGCTCCCTGACTCACACAGTGAGACTGATGAGCAGGTTATTCCTCTGGGTACCAGGCCCGATGTGGAGGTTGAAGTCACCATGACACATGTCTAAGTCAGCTATTTTAATAAACTGTTTATCAGTTGTTTCAAAAATCCACATACTATATCTTCTTCTCTATATTATACTTTCTTCTGTGCAACAGTGGTTTGCTTACTTATCACTCTCCCAACTTGTTCTACACTCTTCTTCAAGGGCTGGTGCAATTCCAGAATTTTCCTTCATGGGGCCAGTCCCCTTTGAGGGCTATACTACCGTTTCCAGTGTTCAGTGAGCCCAAAACTCAGTGAAGAAAAGGTCAAGCTTCAGACCTTCCTCCCAACTCTTGCCTCTGGATTAGCTGGGGGGTGCTCCTGAACTATGGCAGCAACGATGGCAGAGAGAGCAGTGGATGGGGCAGATGCTCCCTGGAGAGACAGGAGCAGCAATCTACAGTCCCATGGTCCGACAGTGGGGGGAGCCTGCCCCCTTCTGGAGGCGACTGGGGTAGTCATAGGGAGCAGAAAGTGCAGAGGCTAAGCTGTCTTCTGGGCCACCTCCCCATACTTGGGAGGCTGGCCAGCTTTACTCTACCTGTTGATTAAGACCCCTGCTCCCCAGCTCCCAACCGACTGTCAAGGAGAGCCTGAAGCCCGCAGCCAGAACCCCACTTCATAGCTTGCATTAGCAGAGGCCGGGTTCAATGTCTGTCTTCCTCCAGAAAGCAGCGATCGCTACCAGGAAAGTAATATCTCCTGCAGCCGGTCTGTGGGTCCCTCAGGTCCAAGCCTCAGCCAGGAGCCCTTGACCTTTTCTCTTTTCCTCTTTTTAATAATCACAAAATGCACAGAGAAGTTGCATGTGCATTATAAAAAAACACGATTTTCCTAACACATTGGAGAGTAGTTGCCACCTGGATCTCGTCTGTTCCCGAATGCTTTGGTGAAGTTTCCCTTCATTCTCCTGGACAGCCAAGGTACCGCCGGGAAATTGGGAAATGAACAAGTCCTCAGACCCCACTCAAGGGGTCCCAAGAATATGACTTCCAGGAGATGAGTGTTCCCATCACATGGGGCATTTGGTTGTCATCTCCCTTAGTCTCATGTTGGGAACAGTTTCTCAGTTTTTCCTTGATGTGAGCTCCCCCTTTTGAAGATGCAGGCAAACTGTTTTGGAGCCGTCTATACATATAGGTTCATCAGATTCTTCCTGGTGACTAGGTTCTGGCAGAAACAGCCTGGATGTGAAGCTGTGTTCCTCCTAGGTGACACATGCTTCCAACCTGACCCACTACTGAAGGCGGGTCCTTAATCGTAAGGCGCTGTCTGCCAGCCTCTGCACCTTGAAGACACTCTCACCCACCTTGCGGGATGCCCTCCCCACCATGCCTTGGCTGTGACTCCTCGCAAGGCCACCCCAGTGAGCCCTCTTCTCACACACTGGGGCTTGGACACCCCAACTCTGGGGACCCCCCTCTTTGTGTTCCACTGAGGGGTTTTAAGATTGAATTGTTCTGGAAGCAAAGGAGAGAAGGGAAAGGAGAGCAGGCTTCATTCATTCTCACAGTTAACAGAAGTGATTGACAGCAATGCTTCCTCTGCGCCCGCTCAGTCTAAGCACTTTGGACACTTATTTATTTCCGCAGCCACCTATGAGGTAGGTGCTGCTGTGAGTCCCGATTCACAAACAAAACTAAAACTGAGAGGCTACCCCACTTGCCCAGGGGTGCACAGCCAGCAGCTGGCAGAACCCGCCTTCGAATCCAGGTGTCCGGCTCTGAAAAGTGTCCTTGACTAAGGTGGTCCAGTCCCCTTCTGCAGGAATTGATCTTGCTTTGGGCACAAATGACCTCCATGTCACCAAATCCAATGGACGGGTCCGTCCTTGGCGGCGAGGGGGTGGCCACTCACGGGTTGAAACGTCCTTTCTCTTGGCTTCCCTGACACCACGTTGTGATTTTCCTCCCGACGTCTAACCCTTCTTTGTCTCCTCTGCAGTTCCCACTTCTCCCTCCCTCTTGGAATCTGACTTGCCCAGGGCTTGGGCCTGAGCTCCCTTCTCCTCCCGTTCTGTCTCCACACAGCTTCCTGTGCTCTTAGACACTGCCTGTGTGCTGATGACACATCCTTCTAGCCCAAACCCCCTTCAGGCCCAGGACACATTCTCCTGTTGGTCAGGCACATGGACATGGCCTTCTCTCAGGCAGTCTGAACCCCCGGTCCCACACTGAGCGATTCATCTTCCCTCCTTCAGCTTGCACCTCCCTTGGTGCTTAGACTTTTTCACAAAAGTGTAAAAGGGTCTCTACTGCCCGGCCAGCCCTAGTGGCAGAGCCCAAGAGCCACCCTTGCCGTGCACACCACCCTTCCCTGCTCAAGCCCAGCCAAGTTTTTGTTTTTTATTTTTGTGTTTTTGACACCAGGGATTGAACTCAGGGACACTCCACCACTGAGCCCCATCCCCAGCTCTATTTTGTACTTTATTTAGAGACAGGGTCTCACTGAGTTGCTTAGGGCCTCGCTTTTGCTGAGGCTGGCTTTGAACTCGAAATCCTCCTGCCTCAGCCTCTTGAGCCACTGGGATTGCAGGTGTGTGCCACTGCACCCAGCCACAGCTAAGTTTCTTGGATGTGTCCTCCAGTACGTATCCAGAAGCTGCCCTCTTCTCTCCATCACTTAACTCCCAGCCTCCCTTGTCTCTTTCCTGGACTCTTGCAGTAGTCCTTGTTTAGTCTCCTGCTTCATTCCTGCCACACTCCTGGTCCTTCTCCACACCATGCTCAAGGATGCATGTCACCAATATCACCAATCACATTCAGGCACAGCTTAGAATGAAGGCACAGTTCATCCATACCATGGCCTGCAGGCCCAGCCCCCTGATCTTCATTGTTTCCTGGATGAGCTTTTGCCTCAGGGCCTTTGTATGTGTGGTTTCCTTGCCCAGAACAACCCTCCTCACCCTTTCTGTCTCAATTCATGTCATTTCCTCAGAGAAACCTGTTCCACTTTGTTCCTTGACCTGAATCTGGTGCCTCCACTCCTCCTTCTCCTAGGGCTCATACATTCTTCTTCGGACTTGTGGCATTTGGTACGGGTGCATTTACTCATAGGCTAATTGGCTTACTAGAACATTGGCACGCTGCCCCTGGGTGGGCTCTGCGCTCCTCTCAGTATGTTTATTCTGTAGGTTGTTGATTCTCAACTGGGCAAGGTAGAAATACACGGGGAGGCAATTTTGTTCTCTGGAGAGCATCTGGCAGTGTTTGGGGCCATTCTGATTGCTGCCATGGGCAGGGAGGGTTTGCTAATGGCAGCTGGAGGGTAGAGGCCCAGGGTGCTGCTAAAATCTCACAATGCATGAGACAGCCCCACAACAAAGGCTCCTGTCTCCAAGGGTCAGTAGTGGGGAGGCTGGGAAATTGTGCTCTCGGTGAGCTCATGGACTGTTATGATTTTAAACAGAATCTGTCTAGATGGTGGCAACTCCCAGATTTCTCCCTCTCGAGCTCCGGGCTCACACACTCAACTTCCCACTAGACATCTCATCTGGATGTCTAACAGCACAAAGAAACTCATTGCACCTGGAGCCCACCTCCAGCTCTCTCTCCCACTCAGTCCTGCCAACTGCCCAGGTTAAAAAAAAAACAAAACCCGGATGCACTCCCGACCCTTCTTTCTCTCACACCCCACATCAATCCACCAGCAAATTTCTCAAAACAGATCCAGCGTGGACCACTTTCTACCACTTCATTGCCAACTCCCCGGGCCCCTCCACCTTCTCTCACCACCTTCTCTCACCCTCTGCAGTCTATTCTTGGCCCGGTACCCAGAGCCATCTTTTAGAAATATAAATGGATCAGATCACTTCTCTGCCCCACCCCTCCAACGCTTTCCCATCTTAGGTGGACAGAAGCAAGATCCTGACCCTGGTCTGCAAGTCCTCCTGGTCTGCAAGTCCTCTGGCCTCTAAGTGACCTCCCTGACCTCAGCTCTCCCCTGTATTCTTTTGCTCCAATCATACCAGCCTCCTTGTTGGTCTTCAGATCCATCAAGCATGACCATGCCTCAGGGCCTTGGCACTGGCTGTGCCTTCCTCTTGGAACGTTTTCCTTCCAGGTAGCTGATGGCTGCTCCCTCACTTCCTACAAGGCTCTGGGTGAAGGCTCCCTTCTCATCACAGCCTTCCCTGACTGCTCTATAATACAGCGACTCTTCCTACTTCAAACCGCCCCAGCCTCCTTACCCTGTTCTGGATTTGTCTGGAGACTCACTGCCCTCTACATACTGCCTTTCCCCTCTGGAAGTCTGTCTCATTCTCAGTTCTCTGCTGTCCGTCCAGCACCTTGGGTGGCACACAGTAGAGACAGATGCACTCAGTGAAAGCGAGGCTGAGGAGGCTCTAAGTAACTCACCCACGAAACCCACTGGGCCACAGCCTGCCCCCCGCCCTCTCTGCGGACTCCCTGGCCCCTCTCTCATGGGCCATCTCTCTGCCCCCTCCCCCAAAGGCAAGGGAGGGGTGTTTGGGAGGGACCACACAATGGTGTGGGTGGTTTGTTTTCTGACCAGGCCCACGGGGGACCTGAGGGTTTGTGGGTCCTGAGCACCCCCCCATCTCCCGCAAGGCCCAAGGAGGGCCACGCCTGCCTTGAACCTGCGGTCCCAGGGTGCCAACACTGCGGCTCCCAGCCACCGGCTCCAGAGGTCACATTTGGTAAGTTCCTCAGACAGAGCGAGGCCGGGAGGGGCCCCTCTCCAGCCCACCCTAGCCAAGACGCCCATTCCAGCCCGCCCCCTCCCCCTGATGACTGCACTCACTCTGCCACTCCGTGATGGAGATCATGCTGCGGTCCACCTGGGGGGCTTCTGGTCACTGGCTAGTGGTGAGAGCCAAAGAGCTGAGCTCGTGCATGCTCACAGAGTTGACCCTTGGCAATTGTAAAGAGGCCTCTGGTGAATCATTAACTCCCACCACCGCCCACTACACACCCACACCCACACCTACAGACAAGCAGCTGCCAGAAGACTCAGGCTTCCAGAGAAGACAACACCTACCTCACCCTTTCTACCTCCACTCCATGCCCCGAGGCTGAATTCAGCATTCCCATCTCTATCTCCTTTAGGAAATTTGGATTGTATATGGAAGAACTGGGGCCTGAGGGGATCCCTGACTGGTTTGGTGGAGGGTGTGGGAAGAATTGAAATCCGCAGGTCTCTGGGAACTGTGATTCTGCAATCTGTGTTTGGGGTAAAAATGGGAGTTCATAACCCACTTGAATCTAATGTATGAAATATGGTATGTCAAGAGCTTTGTAATGTTATGAACAAGCAATAAAAAAAAAATTCATCTTGAACGTTGTTTTGTGCTATTCACATGAGAGACGCTAGGGGGCGACAAGCACCCGAGTAAAACGCTGCGGGCCCCATGGCAAGGCCAGACCTGGGTCAATTGGGACAAACGTGCTACAAGGCAGCCAGATCTCAAGGGCTGTGAGCTCCTTTCCCCCAGCAGTGTTCAGCTTTGGAATGAGAGGTTGAGCTAGGGAAGACAAAGCCCCGCATTTGGCTTAGGGTAGGGCTGTGCCATTAATTTAGGAGGCCTGGTTCTAGTCTGCTTACCAGCTGTGCAGACAGGGGTACATCCACTCCTGCTCTGTGGGCCTGAGAAAGGAGGGCACAGAAGGTTCCTCACATCCTTTCTCCCAATTTAGAGCAGCGGTTCTCAACATCTTCTTTGAAATGTGCCCTTTACCCAGAAATGAAGTTCATGGGTGATACAACTCATCTCCATACATCATTTAAAAGTCAAAATAAAGCTAATTATACTTAAAGATGGAACGTACAGATAATGAAATATAATATAATGAAATATAATATCTTATAATGAAATATAATATCTCTTAATATATAAATGCTCAGGCAAGACTTATCAGAAGACACAAATGAAATAGGCACATTGCTTGTACCTACACATAATAAATAAATAAGTTAGAACTTAAAGGAAACCGAAGGGGTGGAGGTGCTCAGTGGTAGATGTATTTTGACATACGTGCACGAAGAATGACTTATTCTAATGAGGATCCCATTCTTGAGGTTGTACATGGTGTGGGGTTACACTGGTCGTGTATTCATATATGAACACAGGAAAGTTATGTCCTATTCATTCCACGGTCTTTCCTATCATCCCCCTTCCATTCATTCCCCTTTGTCTAATACAATGAATTTCTATTCCTCCCCCATATTATTATTATTATTATTATTATTATTATTATGTGTTATCCATATATCAGAGAGAACATTCAGTTCTTTTTTTATATTTTTTTTAGTTGTAGATGGACACAATATCTTTATTTTATCTATTTATTTTTATGTGGTGCTGAGGATTGAACCCAGGGCCTCATGCATGCGAGGCAAGCTCTCTACCACACAACCCCAGCTCAGAGGTGTTGGGTTTGATTAATAAAAATAGAAGACTCAAGCCATTCTATGCAAAAACAAAACAAAATCACACACATAAAATGAAGCAGTAGTTTGTAAACACTAGAATATAAATGTTATTACCCTGTGAGGAGGGTGATAACAGACCAAATGTGCTGCTGTAATGAGAAAAACGGAGGTCATCTTAAGTGAAGTAGGTGTGGCAAAGCAAGGCAAGACAGAGATGGCAAAGTGGAGATGAGGGAGAAGTACGAGGCACGTGCAGAGGAGCCAAGTTTTAAACGGTGTGTTGTCAGAATAGCTTCCTGTGCTGTGACCTTAAGTCGGGTCCTGACAGATGATCACAGATGCACACATCTGTCTTGAAATGCCACCACGTGCAGAGGTGTAATTCAATCTCCAGGACCTTGGCAATCATATATTTCCAAAGGACGATCAGGAATAGAGGACAGATGGGAAGGGCAGGGTG